TCGCCTGCAGGATGTCCGAGATTCCGGTGATACCAAGCTCACTCTATGTATCGTCACGAAGTGGGCGCTGTACGACTTGTCCGGGTCGGTGACCCCGGACGCGCTGGACACCATGCAGGACCACTTTCGGCGCTTCAGGCGTCTCCGGAACAAAACACTCGACGGCGCGTCGTACGAAGCTTTGCAGAGATCATGGTGCGCATTCATCCGGCGGTGGAATCGAATGCAAGAGGCTAAAGAAAGTGTCGTCGGCTGGCTCGGTGATCGTGAAGCCCTACAAGCAGAGCATTCACTCGGTGATCTGCGCCTGAAAGTCTGCGACGACGCTTGGACCGAAGACCGTTTGTGCTATGTCAACGTAAGCGAAGGTTGCAGTTCGTGTGACATCGGGCGACGCCCGACGCAAGCTGAGTGGGATAAGCATATTGTCGAGTATCCGCTCATGCCGACCGAACACGCTTGGATCGAGAAGTATAAGCGCTCACTCTCCGAGTTCACCCAGGCGGCTATTCGCGGCGGCTCGCGCCGACAGCGTTCGCGACGGAGCCCGTCTCCGGCGCATTCGACGCCTCGTCGCGCGCGTAGTCGATCGCGGCCGCGTTTGACTCAAGGCTGGAGTCGTACTCGTGGACGACATCAGGAACGTCACGAAGCAAGTTGGCGCGAGGCTCCCACGTATCATCAGCAGGTTGAAACCCGAGCCATCGTACCTTATACTTCCGCGCAGCGGGAGCCGCGTGTTGAGCCGACGACTTGGTCGAGTGACGCGTGCGGGGAGGATCTTCGTGATCAACAATACGGTCCACGATCCAGCACGTATCTCCATTTGAGTCAACGATGGGCGGAGGACCGTCGCGGTGGAATTCGACGCGACCTGGCTGACCAGGACGACGTTGAGCAGGCGCTGAACACTTCTCGGGACGCACAGGAGGAGGCCGAGCGGGCGGCTAAGAGCTCTCGGAACGCCGAGGCGACGGCGAGTAGTCTGCGGCAGTCGAATAGTGAACTCTTGCAGCGACTGCGTAGTCTGGAGGCGCAGGTGTTTGGTGGACCGATGGGTGGAGCTCTTCCGCGCGAGCGGGGAACTGGGACGGATGGGACGCTGGCTCGACAGGCTCATCGCGAGGGCCGCTCAACGCATGCTCCTGTTCCGCCTCCGGGATCATCGCGGGAAGATACTTCTTAAGTCGCCCGACGTAGAACGTCGGGTGTAGTCGTAGCGACGTAGGAATGTCTAGCGTGTAGGCATCACCCATAACTCGTAGTACTTTGAATGGCCCAATGTAGCGCGGCGCGAGTTTGTTCGCGCCTAGGTTCGTAATAGCAGAGGTACGAATTCGATCCGTTGAGAGTAATACTCGCTCACCAATCTTGAATGCACTTGTGTTCTTGCGGCCACGTTTGTCAGCGTTTTCCTTCTGCTTGTCAACCGCGAGTTGTAGCGCGTCACGGACGAATCGGGTAGCCGATTGGCGATGAAGGACAAAGTCAGATACCGCTGCCTTGTAAGCGGGTCGCGCTGGGGGTTTCGGCGCGTAGTTAGCCACAGTCGAGTGTGGCTGTGCTGGAGCGATCAGCGTTCGGTGTGTCCAGTCAACTAACGGCGACGACGTGGATTGCGCAGTGCTCGGAGCCGCGTGCTTCTCGTCGCGAAGATGCCCCGCACTTGCTGGATGACCAGCGTGCTGTCGCCCTCGATGCGCAGCTTCGTGACGCCGTGGTCGGCGGCGGCCCTGGCCCCGAGCAGCAACGCAGTGTACTCTGCTGTGTTGTTCGTTGCCGTGGTGCTCGGGTCGTAGTGGGAACAAGTCCACACTACGGGGCCGCTGGGCTTGAAGAGAGCTGCGCCGGCGCCGCCTGGGCCTGGGTTTGCACGGCAAGCACCGTCGAAGCGCAAAAGCCACTCGCCGTCGGCGTCGTCGATGGTCTCCTCGTCGACCGGCCCTGGCGCTTCGACGTGCGGCTCGCTGTCCTTGGTCTCCTCGTTTGTCCAAGTTGGCGCCCAGTCCATCGTGTCGCTGTCCTTGGCCTCTTCCTCGCATGCAGGCGCGTCTGGTAGCGCGGGTAGCAGGCGGGCGGCGATGCGTGACACAACCAGGCTTCGTGGCAGCGGTGGGTCCCAGCGGGGGGCAGGTGTGGCGGCGAGCCTCGTCGCAATGCGGCCCGCGATGGTAGTGCGCGGTAGCGGGGGGCCCCAGCGTGGGGGTGGCACCTGAGCGAGGCGCCCGGCGATCCTAGACGCGACCAGCACGCGCGGAAGTGGAGTGCCCCAGCGGTTGTCGGTGGCCTCTGTCTCTGGTGCCTGCACTTCAACATCGGAGGAGCTCACCAGCGGGGGGGACGCTGTGAGCTCCGTGGCGTTGTGGCGGGGCAGGTCGGGCTCAGCGTGACCCGCGGCTGAGACGGTGGAGTCGGCTCCGTCGACAGTGTGGCTTGATGCTCCTGCTGCCGACGAAGCCTCGTCCAATGGTGCGCTCGAGAGGCTGGCGCACGCTTGCGCGTGTCTTGCTGCAGCCAGCCTCGAGGCGAAGGGCACGCCACACGCGCAACCCGCCGAGAATCGGTCGAGGAATGCGGTGCGGCGGTGCCGAGAGTTCCTGTGCGCCTTCAGTGATGCGAAGCTGCCGGCCGTGTACGCGCACAGCGTGCAGTCGAACCGCGACGCGTTGTGCGTGTACACGGCAAGGACGGAGGCCGGTTGAGCGCTGGCCGCGGATAGCCTGAGCGCTGGGGCATGAATGCCAGCCTCCTCCTCTTCTTGCAGCTGGTGAGCTTCTTCACCGTCATCTGCGTCGAGTCGGCGGCGCTTGCTGCCTACGTGCAGCGCACGCGGTCGCTGGGGCGGCTGCTGCAACGCTGAAGGGCAATCAGTGCCGGAGTCAACGTCCATGGGGGCGGCGACGTCGTTGCTGAGCATGGAGCTTGGGGCTGCAACGTCGTCACCGCTCCCGTCGTCGGCTGTCCAAGTGCTGCGGTCGCAGCTGCTGCACTCGTCGACCTGCATGGGCTCCACGAGCACGCGAGCCATCGGTAGATGTTCTTGGTCCGGCTCAGCGTGCGCGGGGTGCTCCACGGCGACGCGAGCAGCAGCGCGAGCAGCTGTAGCAGTAGCAGCTACCGGAGCTGGAGTAGCTGCGGTAGCCGCTGCTGGGCTTGAGTCAACCAACCCCGGGTCGGGCAGCATGCCGCCCGCCCTGCCGGGTGGTGCCACGACTGTGGGGACTTCAACATGGTCTGGGCGGCTGCGCGAGGCTCTGGCCGCGGGCAGCAGGAGGCGGGCTTGGTCCTGGGTGCTATGGGGCGGCGAGCGGAGCAACGGCTGCAGCCTGCTGGTCGCCAACTGCTGCTGCCTGCGG